CTAATGCATGAAAATCCTAACCTCAAAAAAATCACCCGTTATAAGGGTGATTATTACAATGGAGAGTGACAGCTTCTAGGACGGTAGTCTAGTAAACATATTCAGGGGTTTGTCGAGGTTAAATGATAAAATTGGATTAGCGGTGTTTTTTCAGAAAATATCCGTGGATCCCAAGTTAGAACTTCTACTTTTCTTCATCGCGATTCAAACAGACGTGGGCGCCACTTGTAAAAAAGTCAGAGGCATTCATTCTTACCGCCAAGCGGCAACCAGGCTTTTGGGATCATTCATCATGGAATCGAAACTGGCAAAGAATGCTGGACTTCTATCTCGGCCCTCTCGGAATAATTTGAATCAGAGTAATTTAGGTACAAGAGCAGGTGTGTGTGAGATTTAACGTGAGTACCTGTCGTCGAAGATGACCTTTCCTCACGGTGCTCAAGAGCACAACGTATCCACTCAATGCGATGATAAGCGCCCCGAAATGCAAGAATTTCGCTACCAATTGGCTGTGCGGAATGGACATACTAACAACCTTGGTAGGGTTCAAGACCTACCTAAACCTCTTCCGTTCTTTGCGTCCAGACACCCGGTTATAATGCAACTCTCCATTGAACCATTACTGGCTCTACCCTCGTTTTGGTGTTACCATAGCCACCACGATACGCCCCGAAAGGCCGTACCAACTGACCGTTCGTACATATCCGGAGTAATGCTCACCCGCCAGACTTGCTCGACCTGCTCGACTCACCCGAATTGCTCAACTCGCCAGACCCGCATATGCTCGAATTTCTCAACTAGCTCGATTTTATCACACGTCGTCCTTACTTCCCAGAGACAACTTCACCATCTCATTCATTCTGCTCGTGAGCATCTCGCTCCTCTTACTCATCTTGCTCCTGAGCACACTCTTGTCCTGCACTGTCAACTAATCTTAGACAGCTTCCCTCAGATTGGAGTGATTGCTCGACTCACTCGACTTTCACCACTCACTCGAGGTGCTAAACTTGCACATATTCATTCTGTTCTTGTAAATTTTACTGGTCTTACTCGTCTTACACGTCTTGCACGTGCACATCTATTGTTTTGCTCGCCGACGAGGCTAGTTTTGCTCGACGAGGCTAGTTTTGCTCACCTAGCTCGCGAATACACTCCGGCGTTATTCTGTTCCCCGTGGCATCAGAATTAAGTCTCTGTCAGACATCGAAAGCCGAAGGCTTCTGCCAGTTGAGCCTCCACTCGACTCATGGACTGGCAGCCTTTATCTGGGTACACCGGGGTCTTAAAGCTCGTAATCCCACTTAGGCGGAATCCCTGGAAAGTTTACATGTTGCTGACGTACCTGGTACAAGTTCCTGGCGCTACAAACTATTAGTTAGCTCAAAGAAAGCTATTCTGTGATAAGATACAAGGTCTTTCTAGCCGGTGTTCGATCGGAGCGCAAACAAACTTCTAACCAGGCTAGTAAAAGCTCATTCCGTGGGACTTGACATCGTTTCCCAGCGGATCTGCTGATATATTCAGGTGCCCAAAAGAGATATAACGGAGACAGCCAATTCCAAAATTCTACTCTGCATAATTTTACCTTAACTCTGGCCCATTAACCAACGGCTTCAAGCTAAATCGTAGAGTAAAAAGTCACTAAAACTAGGAGTTCAATTGTCAAATTAATGTTTCAAGCAGAACTAACAGTCATGATGAAGCTATGCTTGGGCTGATTCGCACTGCTGTACCTCAAATGGTCTGACCTAGGTTGAATAATGAAAGGTCCAGAGTACACACTCTCCTAAAACTTTTGCTAATTTTTTTGGGATCAGCCTGGGTTTCAACAGTATGTACAACCTAAGCCTAAGTTTATTTGTATTTTCATCAGAAGTTGTCTGTCCATCTTTCAACACCTCTTTCTTACATCTGATGTTCTAACGACCCCGTTAGCTGCTAGTAGTCATTTCATAAACTCTTAAATAAACCATTCCCAAAGAATATTGAATTATTAAAATCGGCTTACCCAATACCTTTTTTAGTTTTTTTATGAGACTCCCTATTTACCAAAACATCACTACATCTTGGGATCCGTTCCAGACTCCACCACGGGAAAAAAAATTGCGAGGTTTTGTAATATTCGTTTGGGCCATCACCGCATGTGATCTTTATCAGGAGAGTGTTTGCCTGAAGCAAATATAGGTAGAAGTTTAGGGGGAGATATACCCATCATGACCAAAGTATTGTTAAGATTTCGCCTTCAAAGTATATATCTGGGGTCTGGAGAGCTATGAATCATTTTCGTAATAAGTCGTTCTGAGATGACATGAGATACTAAATTATTTCATTTTTAGCCTTCGACCGAACATACACATATAAATATATACCTGGTTTTATACGTACCTGGTTTGTTTTAATGCTTTTAATTTGCATTTTTAAGCACCCATCTGCCTACCGGAAAAGAATGAGGACTTTCTTGGAAAATTTGGATGGGCAGCCGGCTGGGGCGCTTTGAATCCTGGCTCAAGACTGCGGCCGAAAACGCTGCAAGCGGTGGATGTGCCGGTGATTGAAAATCGGTGAGTATACAAATACATATTTATGTACATTAGGGTGGTCAAAAAAAAATGCAAAAATGGAAAATATTGATTTTCAAGAATTCTATACCATTTCTGTGAAAAGTTGTTTTTTCATATATAAAATACATGGAAAATTTTGTGAGACCGCTAAATAAAAATATTGGTATATTTTTTCCGATATGGAACAATCCTAGGAGGTGAGAACATTAAAATTCGGACTTTGTTTTTTTTTTGGACCACCCTACTGCACATACATACATTCGCTAAAAAATATGCTGCTGAAGTCGAGCATGACTTCATTTAATGCCAAATGCACTTAATAAAACTGCGTTAACCAATATCATTAATACACTCTTTCTAAATCTCAGCATCTGCGAACGCTGGCATCGTCAAAATGGCATAAATGTTGTCATTTACCCGGAAATGATGTGTGCCGGCTATCGAAATGGAGGCAAAGATTCCTGTCAGGGTGACTCTGGCGGGCCGCTGATGCATGAGAAGAGTGGCCGTTGGTATTTGATTGGTGAGCAAGTCAAATGAAGAGCACAAAATGACTGCTATTTTACAAAAACGAAATTCTAATTAATTTGCATATATTTTTCTTTCTGTTCGCAGGCGTGGTTTCAGCTGGCTACTCGTGCGCCTCGCGCGGCCAGCCGGGCATCTATCATCGTGTACCTTATACGGTAGATTGGATATCCTATGTTGTCGGTCTAACCACCAATCTGTAGTAAAAGTGAATATTCTCGAATTCACTTGTTTCAAACATACACTTCAATTTATATTAAAAAAAAAGAAAAAAGAAATGCTCAACATTCTAAACTAAGCGACTTCTAATTTATGTATTTGATTTTTCAAAAATTCTTCGATTCGATGCTGACTTTTTTGTTTTAGTCTTAGAATTAATATATTTATTGTTATGCTCTTGCGAATTGGCTTCTATTTGAATTTTTGTAAATAGTTTTTATTCAAATTGCTTGTCTCTCTTATTGTTGGTAGCTTCTTTCTCATATGTAAATGGCTGATATTGTTTGTTAAACATTAAATCTCATTAAGTTTTGGGGGAAAATCGCAGCATTACTCTAAGTAATTATGCGTCTAATTAAGCTATTACTGTTTTATTTGTGTATTTTATACATACATACGTGTGTAGGTATATGTAGTAATTAAATGGAGAAAATATTTATCAAACTATCAGGCATGGAAAGTGTGCCCAAATTACTTAAATACATACTCGTTTATATTTAGTACATACTTATAGAGATATGAATGTAGATAGGTAGCTATTTCGGTGTTTTGTTACACTATTTGTACTATTAAGTAACAACTTTAAAAATGCTTAAATAAGAAAAATTATAAATTTATGTCCTCATATACATATGTTTTTACTTTACATACATAATTCTGTACATAGTGGGCAAAAATATTGAATAACTGTACTTTTGTATAATTTATGTGCGAATTAAGGAAAG